AAATCTACAATAACGAGACAAAGTCAAACGAGTAAACAAGATTATCGGTGTTCGGTATGTTAGCAAGGATCGTACAAGTTAAGTAAGATCAGAAGGCCGTAGAAAGAAAGTAGTGGTCGAGCTATATAAATCTATGAAACAACGGGAAACACTTAAAACACACACGTACTAAACGATACGAGACGAGTGATCATAGACAGATTGAGTCATGCAGGAGCCAGGACCTGTCTCTATCAGCACAGATTAAAAATACAGTCGACAAACACAAGTAATAAAAAACGAACTCTAAACGTGAATCGATTTTAAGATTTATTTTTATTATGTTGATCTTTTACTTCTAAACGGTTAACACTATGTTAATATATTGTGATGTATCTATTTACTTTGATTGAATCAATCATTTGATTTACGTTGTTTTTATGTTTAATTGTTAAAACTCATTCACATTAATCGATTAAAGGAATCGATGACCTATTTTATTCGTGACATAAACTTATTTTCAAGATTTCTCGTCTTCCAGATTGTGGATTGGGCAATTTTTTTATATTTTGAAATAGAAAAATATAACGTTTTTTTAAACCATATTTCAATTTATTCCAATTGGGCCCAGAAATCTCCGTCTCATATAAAGAAATTATATACACACACTCATACGCGATTGCATTTCAGGAAGTCTTTATTATATTTACAGAACTGTTTTATGAGCATTGCCAAATGTTGACTGTACGGAATCTTTTTTTATAGTATACCGGTCTCAAACAGCACTCCTTAAATAAATATATAGGTAATAAGAACGCTGCACTATGCAATCATCTTGTCGCCAAATGTATTCCTCTTAATACCTGATTCAGTCATAGACTTTTTGTATTCCTTGGCTTTAACCTTTATAATAAATTGCATCAGAAATTATTCTCGCACTCACTAAATCACTTTAAATTTAAATGTACTCTCAATGGCTTTTAAATAAATAGAACACTGAAACTGAATGTCTTCTTGATATTGCAAATAATATTACTTATACCTTTACAACAACTTATGTTTTAATAAAGGAGTATTTTCAAAACTCCTTAAAGAATCAATCATCACTCCATTACAAGAATGGGGATGGAGAAGGTGTAATAATTTTAAACTAGTACTGACAGTAATATCCAAAATTATTGAAAAACTTATCAACAAAAGACTTCTGTGTTACCTCAATCATTTTAACATCCTGTCTGAATCACAGTATGGTTTCTGTAGTGGAATAAATACAGAAGATGCGGTGACTGCATTAACTTCTCAAATTGTTGATAAATTGGGTAGTAAAACAAAATGTATGGCAGTTTTTTTTTGGATTTGAAAAAAGCGTTTGACACTGTCTCTATCGCCATCCTTGTACAGAACATGGAAGATGTGTGTATACGAGGTATTCCAATAGAGCTACTTAAAGACTACCTTATGTAGAGGGCACAGAAATTAAAAGTGGGTCATACTGTAACCGGTCGAATGAATGTGACTTACGGTGTCCCGCAGGGCAGTGTGTTGGGCCAACCCTTTTCCTTATCTACAATAATGACCTCTGTAACATAAATACTTGGTACGCTAGGATCTTTTCTTATGCGGATGACACTGCTGTGGTTGTTATGGGTCATCTTGGACTGCAGTGAAAACAGAAGCTGAAACGGGTGATCAGAAATTGGTAAGTGGCTAAGAACTAATCTGCTGATACTAAACACACAAAAGACTAATTACATGTGTTTTTCAATTTTAGACAGTAATCCACCCAGTAATGATTTCGACATTCAAATACATATCTATGATTGTGGTGAGGATGCTAACTGTCGCTGTCCCTGTATATCAACTAAATATCTTGGTATTATGCTAGACCAAAGACTTTCCTGGCAATCGCATATTGATCTCGTCGCAACTAGAACACGCAAGCTGATTCGGATTTTTAAAATGCTAAGACATGATGCCGACAAGAAATTTATCAACCAAGTGTATATGGCATTAGCTCAACCCATATTAACTTACTGTCTGACAGTTTGGAGAGGTGCTCTAAAAACTAAATTTCTCGTGGTGGAACGGGCTCAAAGAGCGTTACTAAAGGTGATGTATTTTAAAAATCGTAGATTTGCAACACAAGCTCTATATTTCGTTGCTGAAGTCCTAACAATTAGAAAACTATATATTCTCCATACCGTAAAAAAACACAAATAATTAAAATTTGATCCGAGCATATTGCATAAAAGAAGACATAATAAATTGGCCACAGTTAAATTCACTCATACTCAATTCGCAAGAAATCAATTTCAGTATTACACATACACACAAAATACATACAATACACTCACACATTGACATACATTTTTGTTACTACACACGTATATATATATAGATTTAGTATAAGTCATAATTTACATACTTATGATAAAGATAAGTTGTATTACTTTCCTAATTCTTCATTGATACTCGGAAGTACCACTAATGTGATATGGAAGAGTTCCTTCTGAAACAGGTGCTAATGCACTTAAAAGTTGAGTCAACCTATGTTCTAGATTTAAGAGAAACCTTGTTAAAGAAATAAACTTTTATTTTTTTTATTTTTATATTCTGAAATAAAAGTTTCTATTGTATTCTTCATATATATTCACACTTTAGCACACACACTTCACACCCTACTCACACACATACACGCACGCAAACACGCACGCACGCATGCACGAACGCACACGCACGCACGTACGCACGCACGCACGCACCCGCACACGCACGTGCACGCGCACGCTCACACGCAACGCACACGCACTCGCACACTCACATGCACACGCTTACGCACACGCACACGTAAACAACATGCACATGCACACTAACACGCACACACACACAAACGCACGCACATGCACATGTACTCGTAAATCCTCGTTACGTTAAAAGCTTAGTGATTAAAGATATAAGATGAAGGCCTGGTGACCTGTAACTCAGGTTTTAATTCCCTACTTCGGGCACCAGTGATACATAATCTTTATATTAATAGTTATTAAGTTTAGTGTTAAGATATTTTTGTGATTTTGTGGTAAGAAATAAATACATTTTCAATTTCAATTTCAATTCTGCGACAGACTACAGATATTTCTAAGGGCAAATTTTTCAACCGTTAGATAAAAGTTAACAATCAAATAAATTATAACCTGACTGAAATGTAAAGTTCTAAATTGTAAATTAAATGAAAGAACAGTTGAACTACTTTATTTATACTACACTAATTCTTAATTTTTTATGTTTTATTATATCCTTAGAAGAACTTTTATCTAAAGATTTAAAAATCGGTCATTAAGAGTAATAACACACTAATACATAATGAGATATTCGATGTTAGCGGATGATGTTAAAAAGTTTTGAAACACTTCAAATGTTTCAAAACATACACATATATCAAATAAAAAATATCAAATAACAAAGTATTTATATGAACTGTGAACAATGTTCATCTGTATATTCAACAACTATGCAATTATGGATAGTACTAGTTCGAGTCGTAAAGTCAACTCGTATCTGTTTCATACAAAATAATGACATTTTTATGTTTTGGCAACCCTAACAGCACATCGTAAACTCACTTCACTAGCAAATTCAATTCAATATACCAACATTTTATGACTCCACTCTGCATTCGAAAAGTGAATTTTTATATTGTGTGAATTTAAATATGCTTAAGACCAATATTCGTGTAACCGTTATGCACATCTGAATTAGTATCATATTGATTATGAAATTAAATTAAAAATTGAGAAATTAGATTATGTCATGATTTCTTCTAGTTTAACATAGTGAAATATAGAAATGTATGTAAAATAAATAAATTTGTGGCGGACAAACAATGTGACACGTAATTTTTATGTATAAAGATATAGGTATATGTATAGTGTATATATATATATATATATATATATATATATATAATATCTAAATATATATATACCTATATATATATATATATAGGTATATATATATTTATATATTATATATATATATATATATATATATATATATATATATATATACCGTCAAACGCCTCTGGCAATGTTAGGAATATTTCTTAAAATACCTCCAAAAAGTTATTAAGATTAAGCATAATGTCTAAAATAAATGTTATATATTATACCTAAGTCTTCTTTTTACTCTTGTTTTAATTTCTATCTGCTAAAAAGTACAAATTCAGAATTTATTTTACGACAAAACTAAATAATATCAACATTATATATATGTGTGGGATCGTCGAAGAAAAGAATGGTCGAATTAAACACAAAATCTTTAATAAAACTGCTTAGCCTCTTTAAAATGTTTTTTCTCGTAACCACAGACTACCCACACCCCTTGTCATGCCATGACTTAAAAACTAACATAAACACAGATTAAAAATAAACTTTCTCCCACACGGCCGTCCTGATCATTCATCTGACTCAGATGAATATACATCTACTTCTTCATCGACCCATGGCTTCATGAGATCAGCCAAGGTTGTTGTGTTTGATGGGTCCTTCGCATTCACCAACTTTTCTTACAACGTACTTTTCATGATGCTTTTTGGCTGTCAGTGCGTAAGGTCCTAGATACTTAGGATACAATTTACTTCCTTGAGTAAATTGTGTTCGTTTGATAGCAACCAAGTCGTCAACTTTGTATTCGGTTGCCTTTTTTCTTTTTCTATTATAATTTTTAACGTTCTCTTCTTGGATCTTTTGTATTGACTCTTTTGTCTTTAATCTTAGTTCATTCCTGTGCTCATTATAGTTCTTAACTTCTTCTTCTTCTATTAATTTCAAAATTTCTTCATTCTCATCTTTTATTTTGGTTCCAAAAAGTAATTCGAATGGAGTCATTCCGATACTTCTTTGCCATGTACTATTCAGACAGCGTTGCACTTTGGAAACTTGTTTATACCACTTCGTCGGATAATCAGCGCTCAATTTACTTATAACACTTATTTTGATTTGGTGGATTCTTTCTACTTGCCCGTTTCAGCGGGGTAGTCCTGTAGTAATTGTATAATGAGTTATGCCTTCTTGTTCACAATAGTCTTGAAAGTCTATTGAAGTAAATGCGGCGTTACGATCGGAAATAATCCTTAGAAGGGAACCAAAGGTTTGTTGTTGCACTCTCAGTTTGTCCAACGTTTCATCTGTGGACAAAGGTTTTGTAGGATAGATCCAAGTAAATTTGGTAAAGCCATCAACTACCGTAAAAATGTACTTATAATTTTTATTAGTAGACGTCAATGGACCAAGAGGATCAATATGATACGTCGACAACGGGACATCACCTTTGTCTAATGGATGTAAGAATCCTTCTTTCTTTCCTTTTTTCTGTTCAATTAGAATACATTCTTCACAATTCTCTATAACTTTTCTAACCTTCTCCTTCAGATTCTCAACATAATACTCTCGACTCACAAGCTCTTCTGTTTTTCTAACTCCAAAATGTCCATAATCATGCTTCTTCCTTATTACTTCGTTCTGCATTTTCTTTGGAACTACAATAAGTCTCGTACCATCTTTCTCTTTGCATAATATTCCTCTTTACATAATATAGTCTTGATAGGGTTCTTCTTCTAACATTTTCTTTCACAGACTGATATGAGGGTTGTCGTCTTGAGCTCTCTTCAAGCGGGCAGCAGCTTCGGTAAGTATCAAGCAGACAGGGTTTTGGCTAGGCGTCAGCATGTTTAAGTCTTGATCCTGACCTGTGTTCTATCTCATAACTATACTCTTCTAGGAGCAGAGTCCATCGTGCAACACGTGGAGGTAAGTCTTTCTTCTGTAATGTTTTAGTAAGAGCAGAGCAATCTGTTATGATTTTAAAACGAATTCTTAGTCGATAGACACGGAATTTCTTGACAGCTTCAACAATCGCTAGTATTTCCAAGTAATAGCTGGGATACTTTCTTTCAGCGGGTGTCGTTTTTTTGCTCATGTAGTAGACTGGATGCATTTGATTATCTGTAGGACTTTTCTGTAACAGAACGGCGCCATAGCCTTCTGCGCTAGCATCTGTGTGTAGTTCTGTTGCTAGTTCTGGATCGTAAATCCGTAACACAGGTGAACTACACAATATTCTTTTCAATTCATTGAAAGCCATTTCGCACTCTTCATCAAAATTGAATTCAACGTCTTTTTTCAATAAATTGGTAAGTGGTTTTGCAATTATAGAATAATTTTTGATGAACTTTCTAAAATAACCAGACAGTCCTAAAAAAGACTGTAAAGACTTGATGTTATGAGGGGTTTATTTAAAATCTTTATACGGCTGAAATATTTTCTTTTGACGGGCGTAATTCATTATTTCGTTTTATATAGCATAAATATTCTATCTCCCTCTTCATGAAGTGGCATTTCTTCCAGTTAAATAAAAGACCGTACTCTTCAGCTCTTTGCAACACTTTTACCAGCTTCTCCAATCCTTCTTCTTCTGACTCCGAGGGTAAAATCAAATCATCCAAGTAGGCAAGGACAGTACCGTCAGAAATAAGATCTTGAAAGACATGGTTGACATATCTTTGGAATACAAAGACCGGCGCTGTACAAAGACCGAACGGCATTTTCATGAATTCATACTACCCTTGCGGAGTTACAAAGGCCGTAAACTTCCTGCTTTCTTCATGCACATTCACATGCATAAATCCGTTCTTCAAATCTAAAGTCGTGAAAACTTTTACACCCTTCAATCTGTCAATCTGATCTTCTATAAGAGGTAACGGGAATCGGTCTTTCACTATTCTTTTATTCAACTTTCTATAATCTATACAGTCTGTATGTTCCATCTTTCCTTTTAGCTAGAACTACAGGGCTTGCAAAGTCTGATTTGCTGGGTCATATAATCTTTTGGTCTAGCTGATGAACAAATAAAATACTGCTGGTAAGTTTCATCTTTCTTCATTTTTCTTCAGCTTAGTTTTTTAAGTATGGTAAACTGAGCTGAAGAAAAATGAAGAAAGATGAAACTTACCAGCAGTATTTTCTCCATACGAAAGAATGTGCACTACATGGAAACATCGAAGATGCAGCACTTATGAAGTACGTTATTGATGGTATCCAAGACAGCGAATCTAATAAATCTATTTTGTACAGAGCGTCAAACCTTAAAGAATTTAGAAAGAAATTAGATATTTACAAAAGTTTTAAAGAAAAGACCCAGACTCGACTCAGTGTATCTACTCCATCTGCAAAGAATAATAAAATAAAGCGATGTTTTAATTGCCGGGACCTAGATCATCAAGCCCCGACCTGCATAAAGGGTATTAAGTGCTTCCGATGCAATGAATTTGGGTGTTCAGTTTAGTTCAGTGTAGTAACAAAGGTAAAAAAACTTTAAATATTCAAAAGACTGAAACAAAAACTAAGACTGATAAAGAAGAAAAATAATTAGAAACTCCATATAAGAAGATAAAGTTAAATGATGTCGAAATTACAGCACTAATTGACACTGGGAGTGACGTGAATTTGATAAAGTTATCTGAAGTTGAAACACTTATGACAGAAAAAGTTATCTACGACAAAGAAAAATCAATACACCTAACTGGAATTGCTGGAAAAGAACTAAATACTGAAGGACTTTTGAAAGTTAAGGTTTTGATTGATGATTATTATGCTGATTTGGAATTTCACGTAGTACAAGATTATGCTATACCAGTCAGTGTCATACTTGGAAATCCTATCTTCAAAGATTTTGAAATCAGCTTTACTCGTGATGGTATTTTACTTGAAAAGATTTCTTACCTTATACTACTGGCAGAAGAGAAGAACACTATTTGTGATGAACATTACCCTGAAAATAAAGAAATTGCAGATAAGATTACAAAACTAATTGAAGAATATAAAACTGATGCTAAAAAGAAGGAAAGTAACATTGAGATGAAAGTAATACTTACCGAAGAAGACCCGATCCATCAAAGCCCACGTCGATTCTCACCACTGGAAATGAAAGTTGTTGATGAACAAATAAAAGAATGGCTAGACCAAAAGATTATATGACCCAGCAAATCAGACTTTGCAAGCCCTGTAGTTCTAGCTCAAAGGAAAGATGGAACATACAGACTGTATAGATTATAGAAAGTTGAATAAAAGAATAGTGAAAGACCGATTCCCGTTACCTCTTATAGAAGATCAGATTGACAGATTGAAGGGTGTAAAAGTTTTCACGACTTTAGATTTGAAGAACGGATTTATGCATGTGAATGTGCATGAAGAAAGCAGGAAGTTTACGGCCTTTGTAACTCCGCAAGGGTAGTATGAATTCATGAAAATGCCGTTCGGTCTTTGTACAGCGCCGGTCTTTGTATTCCAAAGATATGTCAACCATGTCTTTCAAGATCTTATTTCTGACGGTACTGTCCTTGCCTACTTGGATGATTTGATTTTACCCTCGGAGTCAGAAGAAGAAGGATTGGAGAAGCTGGTAAAAGTGTTGCAAAGAGCTGAAGAGTACGGTCTTTTATTTAACTGGAAGAAATGCCACTTCATGAAGAGGGAGATAGAATATTTATGCTATATAAAACGAAATAATGAATTACGCCCGTCAAAAGAAAATATTTCAGCCGTATAAAGATTTTAAATAAACCCCTCATAACATCAAGTCTTTACAGTCTTTTTTAGGACTGTCTGGTTATTTTAGAAAGTTCATCAAAAATTATTCTATAATTGCAAAACCACTTACCAATTTATTGAAAAAAGACGTTGAATTCAATTTTGATGAAGAGTGCGAAATGGCTTTCAATGAATTGAAAAGAATATTGTGTAGTTCACCTGTGTTACGGATTTACGATCCAGAACTAGCAACAGAACTACACACAGATGCTAGCGCAGAAGGCTATGGCGCCGTTCTGTTACAGAAAAGTCCTACAGATAATCAAATGCATCCAGTCTACTACATGAGCAAAAAAACGACACCCGCTGAAAGAAAGTATCCCAGCTATTACTTGGAAATACTAGCGATTGTTGAAGCTGTCAAGAAATTCCGTGTCTATCGACTAAGAATTCGTTTTAAAATCATAACAGATTGCTCTGCTCTTACTAAAACATTACAGAAGAAAGACTTACCTCCACGTGTTGCACGATGGACTCTGCTCCTAGAAGAGTATAGTTATGAGATAGAACACAGGTCAGGATCAAGACTTAAACATGCTGACGCCTAGCCAAAACCCTGTCTGCTTGATACTTACCGAAGCTGCTGCCCGCTTGAAGAGAGCTCAAGACGACAACCCTCATATCAGTCTGTGAAAGAAAATGTTAGAAGAAGAACCCTATCAAGACTATATTATGTAAAGAGGAATATTATGCAAAGAGAAAGATGGTACGAGACTTATTGTAGTTCCAAAGAAAATGCAGAACGAAGTAATAAGGAAGAAGCATGATTATGGACATTTTGGAGTTAGAAAAACAGAAGAGCTTGTGAGTCGAGAGTATTATGTTGAGAATCTGAAGGAGAAGGTTAGAAAAGTTATAGAGAATTGTGAAGAATGTATTCTAATTGAACAGAAAAAAGGAAAGAAAGAAGGATTCTTACATCCATTAGACAAAGGTGATGTCCCGTTGTCGACGTATCATATTGATCCTCTTGGTCCATTGACGTCTACTAATAAAAATTATAAGTACATTTTTACGGTAGTTGATGGCTTTACCAAATTTACTTGGATCTATCCTACAAAACCTTTGTCCACAGATGAAACGTTGGACAAACTGAGAGTGCAACAACAAACCTTTGGTTCCCTTCTAAGGATTATTTCCGATCGTAACGCCGCATTTACTTCAATAGACTTTCAAGACTATTGTGAACAAGAAGGCATAACTCATTATACAATTACTACAGGACTACCCCGCTGAAACGGGCAAGTAGAAAGAATCCACCAAATCAAAATAAGTGTTATAAGTAAATTGAGCGCTGATTATCCGACGAAGTGGTATAAACAAGTTTCCAAAGTGCAACGCTGTCTGAATAGTACATGGCAAAGAAGTATCGGAATGACTCCATTCGAATTACTTTTTGGAACCAAAATAAAAGATGAGAATGAAGAAATTTTGAAATTAATAGAAGAAGAAGAAGTTAAGAACTATAATGAGCACAGGAATGAACTAAGATTAAAGACAAAAGAGTCAATACAAAAGATCCAAGAAGAGAACGTTAAAAATTATAATAGAAAAAGAAAAAAGGCAACCGAATACAAAGTTGACGACTTGGTTGCTATCAAACGAACACAATTTACTCAAGGAAGTAAATTGTATCCTAAGTATCTAGGACCTTACGCACTGACAGCCAAAAAGCATCATGAAAAGTACGTTGTAAGAAAAGTTGGTGAATGCGAAGGACCCATCAAACACAACAACCTTGGCTGATCTCATGAAGCCATGGGTCGATGAAGAAGTAGATGTATATTCATCTGAGTCAGATGAATGATCAGGACGGCCGTGTGGGAGAAAGTTTATTTTTAATCTGTGTTTATGTTAGTTTTTAAGTCATGGCATGACAAGGGGTGTGGGTAGTCTGTGGTTACGAGAAAAAACATTTTAAAGAGGCTAAGCAGTTTTATTAAAGATTTTGTGTTTAATTCGACCATTCTTTTCTTCGACGATCCCACACATATATATAATGTTGATATTATTTAGTTTTGTCGTAAAATAAATTCTGAATTTGTACTTTTTAGCAGATAGAAATTAAAACAAGAGTAAAAAGAAGACTTAGGTATAATATATAACATTTATTTTAGACATTATGCTTAATCTTAATAACTTTTTGGAGGTATTTTAAGAAATATTCCTAACATTGCCAGAGGCGTTTGACGGTATATATATATATATATATATATATATATATATATATATATATATATATATATATATATATAATATATAAATATATATATACCTATATATATATATATAGGTATATATATATTTAGATATTATATATATATATATATATATATATATATATATACACTATACATATACCTATATCTTTATACATAAAAATTACGTGTCACATTGTTTGTCCGCCACAAATTTATTTATTTTACATACATTTCTATATTTCACTATGTTAAACTAGAAGAAATCATGACATAATCTAATTTCTCAATTTTTAATTTAATTTCATAATCAATATGATACTAATTCAGATGTGCATAACGGTTACACGAATATTGGTCTTAAGCATATTTAAATTCACACAATATAAAAATTCACTTTTCGAATGCAGAGTGGAGTCATAAAATGTTGGTATATTGAATTGAATTTGCTAGTGAAGTGAGTTTACGATGTGCTGTTAGGGTTGCCAAAACATAAAAATGTCATTATTTTGTATGAAACAGATACGAGTTGACTTTACGACTCGAACTAGTACTATCCATAATTGCATAGTTGTTGAATATACAGATGAACATTGTTCACAGTTCATATAAATACTTTGTTATTTGATATTTTTTTAGCACTATTCAATTTAGATCCAAATTCATCTTCGAGTACTTGTTTTAATTTTTTATAATCTTTTACACCTCCGAGCTATCGTAGAAATAGTTTTGCAGTTCCACTTAGGAGTCTTTTCGCGTAAATCAGTTTTTCTACTTCAGTCCAGCTCATCAACAGTGCCGTGTCTTCAAATTCTTCAAACCATGTTGAAATCGGGTAATCATCACCACTAAATGACGTCATCGACTTCTCCACATCTGCAAACGAGATATTGGATGTGGTGTCACGTGATTCTCGATATTCTCCATCTTTAATATGTTTTTTCGGTGGCATCTTGAAATGTTATTCTTCAAATATAAAAATCTTCACAAGTCTTCAATAATCGTAAAATCTTCTTTAAATAATTATTTTTGTTACAATAATCTTCAATCGTAAAATCCGTAAATCGTAAATCCAGTCGTGAAACTAATCTTTATCTTCTTTCCATTTCGTAAAAAATAAAAAATATATTGACGCACGAACAACGTCCCGCAGCATTTCGCTCACGCGGTAATGCAGTGCGATGGTAGCAACGTCCCGACGCATTCGATGCAACTCGTATTCAAAACTTCCCGCGCGCCATCTTGGTTCGTGTCGGTAAAACAGTTCACTTCTCACAATGACTCGCCGGTATTTTGCTGATGATTTCTTCGTAAATGTTATTAATTCTTCCACACTGATACTTCTCTGGATCCCGGACGAGCCCGTCGAAGAAAATAATGTTTTTTTTAGGATAAGGGTGACAAACGAGCACACAGTCCACCTGATGGTAAGTGGTTTCTGCGGCCCATAGACATCTACATCTATCCTCTGTTACAAATCAAAATGTAGATGCGTTGTCACCCGTGAGGACTAAGATGAAATGCCTCATTTCCAGTAAAAAGGGCCTGCGGCCACCTGCACTCACCAAGCGAAACGCAGAGGTAAACCTCTACTTCACGCTGGTTTTCTATGAGGTCGTGGTACTACCCCGGTTCGAGCCGGCCTATCCGTGCGACAGCAAAAGCTGCCGCGTGGCTCTACCACTGTTATGAAGAATGTTTGAATTAAACACAAAATCTTTAATAAAACTGCTTAGCCTCTTTACAATATTTTTCCTCATAACCGCAGACTACTCACACTCCTTGTCATGCCATGACTTAAAAACATAAACACAGATTAAAACTAAACTTTCTCCTACATATATATATATATATATATATATATATATATATATATATATATATATATCATGCTGCTGTATGTCGTATGGTGAGTGTAGAGAACCGGAGACCCTTTTTACTGAAAAAGAGGCATTCTATCTTAGTCCTCACGGGTGAAAACGCATCTGCATCATCAGATGGACTGTGTGCTCGTTTGTCACGTACAATTATATAAAAAAAATATTTCAAAAAACAAACATTAATTTACGGGCTCTTTTGCACAGGTGGTCTATGTGGTTTTTAAAAGTAAGAGTAGAATCTATAATTTTTCCAAGGTATTTAGTAGATTTTGTATTAAATATAACTGGGTAATCATATTTAGACACTGCG